TTTGGCCTGTATATTGGTAATAATTGAAGGCACTTGTGCTTGCACACTTCTCAGTTCTCCCGATGATTACCCAGGGTCACTGCTCTGCAACAGTTTCCAATTGAAATCAAATTATCTGACTTCCAGAACAACAACCAGGCCGAAGGATCCCTCTATTTAAATGGGGAATAACAGTTTCCTTAACAAGTGTGTTTATATTGAAAGAGGAACACTGCAGGTTTTCATCTGGTTCACCTGGAGAAAGGAGGACTAGGAGAAGAAAAATAACCTCCTTGAGCGTCTGGTGCTATCTGGTTGAGTCAGTCTTACCTCAAGCATCTCCTTCTCTTTTGCAACTGTTTGACAGTATAGCTTCAATTCTTCTGTGACCTTCTGAGTCAGTATCTGGAGAGTCAAAAGGAAAATGACTTTTAAAATAATGCAAATAAATGTGAGTCTCAGCTGTTTCAGCAGCAGGAGAGAAGGGTAGGGGCACACAGACCCCTCAAGGACATTTCAAGCTTTTCTTACTGTTGTCTTTTCCCTGCAAGCACGTATCTCTTTTTCCTCCTCTATGTTTCCACCTGTAAGTAATTCAGGAGGTGCATTAGTAAACCTCTAATACATCACATTACATTGAGAACAAACAACTTTTCAAAGTAACTTTCCACAGCAAGAAATATTAAGTTAGTTTATCCAGGGCCTGCTACAGGAAACAGCTCTCTCAAGCCACAAAAAACTCCCCCAAATCCCGGAATTCCAGCAATATTCCCTAAAAAAGGAAGTCCAAATTTCTTATGAATAGTTAGAACAGAAGAGAAAAAAAGCATTCTGGAGAAGTGCCAGGATGTTAGCAAAGTGCAAAACCCCTACCAGGATTGATGTTTCTGCTTTCTATAATCATCATGGAAGTCTCCTGAATTTTCTTGAGCTTCTCAACTTCATGGACCAGCCCCTCATTCTTCTTTAACTCCCTAATAGTGCCCTGCCATTAAAACAGGCTGTAAGTGAGGCAAGTTTCCAAGGAGATTTTCTTCTCCTTAGTAGTACTGACAATAGCAAGTTCACAAGTGCTGCACTTGGCACCAAGAATTAGACCTTGCATTCTGTCTCTATCACCACAGAAAATTAGGCTGTTGCAGGTCCTTGCTCCAGCTTCTTGACAGGATTAATACATTTATTACATCCACACATCACACCAATTACTAGAAAAATTGATCATGGAGGAATTCCTTTTAGGCAACTCTATCTTTTCTTGTGCTCCCTTTTTTTTAGATAAATAATGTACACATGGAGGAACATACAAACATTGTGAAGAAAAGCCTGTCTTTAAGCCACAGCATTATTCCCTACACAACCCAGATATTACCAGGCAATTGGATAAGCTGATCAACCTCCCAAGTTGAATGCAATTCTTCAAGAGGATCAATAATCATGTGGATTAGGGTGATCTGGCTGATAATGTCAAAAGCTTTGGAAACATTTCATAGGAAGTCTCAGAGGCTCTTAAGAAAATCAAGCTGTGAGATAAGAGGAATGATCATCCCACAGATTGGGAACTGAAAAATAAAGTGAGGTTTTACAGCTGTCCATTACCAGGAGGGACTCCTGTACATGACAGAAGTAGAACTAGGTGTATCTTAGAGTTATCTGTGAGAGCCAGGGAATAATAAAGTGCCAATTCTGAATCTCAACCTGATTCCACAAGATCAGGTCTATTTGAAACAGAAGTCCCTGAACAGTCCCAGCTCTCTCAGGCTTTCCTCCAGTCCCTTAACCATCTCTGTGGCCCTTTCTTGGACTCTGTCCAGTACATCCAGATCTCTTTTGTACCAGGAGCCCAGGACCAGACAAAATATTCCCAGTTTGGCCTCCCCAGAGCTGAGCGGCTGGGAAAACAACTTGCAGAAGAATACAAAGACATTCTGATGAAGACAAGAAAACAAGCGAGACAATCCTTAACATGACTCTATGGATCAGAACATAGGAATTATAAAATAAAGATTTATTTATCTTTCTCTCCTATCTTTACCTCTGCTCTTGCTAGCTGTTTCTTGAGTGTTTCCACCAACTGATCCTTCTTTTTCAGCTCTGCTTCTAGTTGGTGTCTGCCGAGAGGGCTGTGGAGTTAAGGGGCAAAGACTCAGGGGAAAAAATGCCAGTGTTGCACACCTCCTAGTTGCACAACTATGCCCTTTTTTAAGTGTTTGCTTTTGTTTCTGACCAACAGATTTAACTAGAAAATTTGGCAGGAAGCTGCACATAGGTGAGAGCTTGTGCCATATAAGAAATGGCAAATGCATTTTTACAGACTCTCTTGCTGGGTTGCACAAGAGAGCAAGTTTTATTATTCCGAATCTTCTTATATCAGCAGGTCCAAGAAGGTCCAAGAGGTAAAACCCTCATTGGTCATTAAACCAACACACCACCATCATTGGACAATTGGGAACACCACCTCTTGACTGTTTCTTGCAAGTAAGCAACAAGGATCCAAACAACACCTGCAAAGGTAGTTCTCCTTCTTCCAAGGACTCTTTTGATTCCTCCTTATGATTTTCCAAGCCACTCTTCTCAGGCCAGTCTGAGAAAGTTATGTGACTTGGCTTCACACAGGCTCAAGCTAATGCCTGAAGCCTAAAATCTCTTATTTGACCATTGGCAGTTCCCACAGAGAGCTCATTGCAGCCCTCCACAGGGGAACACCACAGCACAAGGACAGCTAACAGAGATGGGAGGGACATACCGCCTTGCCACTGTCTTCTTTGGAACTGGTTCCACTCTCTTGTCAGACTTAGGCAACCTTAAAAGAGAGATAAAATACAATTACCAGAAGACTACTGTGTTCCTGCAGATCACCAAGCCCGTTAGTTTGACAAAAGGTGCAAAATGAGGCATGTTTAGGACATCTGCCAATTAAATCCATTGATATTTTGCTTTGATTTACCCTTGGTTTGCAGCCTTGAAGACACTGTCCACTGTAACGTTTGAGACAAGCTGAAGACTGGGAACCCCGCTGAACTTTGGATCTGATGTTTTGCTGGCACATTTTCTCTTTGAAGGAAAAGCCACTTGCAATTCTGTGAGAAAAAGACAACTGTGGAAACACCTCAGCCTAGAAGTAACCTCCTTTAAGGTCTCTTAAGCCTTTAATTTGAGGTAAAGCAGTTATATCTGGATAAAATGGAGACTTTAAGGTAGAAGTAACTAAGAGCAGTCCTCAAGTTTTACCCAGGATCAAGTGTCCAGAATAAGCCACAAATAGGTCAGATGTGGACAGTGTTAAAATACAATTACCAGGCTAGCACTAATGAGAGTCTGAAATGATAATATACAATGAAGAAGGTCTCAGCATCAAGCAGACATCATGCCACAAGGTTGTTGTTCAATACTGGAAGCAAAACAAACATATACCACATGAAACTCTGTTAAGAGACCTCCATATTTTGCTATGAGCAAATAGCTATGAAAAAAAACCCACAGAAAACTAGCTTTTTATGTGGAGTTTATTTCTCTTAAATCACAATTGTTTGAGTATATAAAGCTTTGTTCACTTAGTGGGCTCAGGAAGTTGCTTTTTCTTCCTCAAGTTAAATATTTTTCAAATGACACACCCATGAGCACATTTACATTAGAGCAATGCACAGCTCCCACCGATTTAGCCCAGCTTCCATGTTTTGAACAATAATCCTGGGTGCTTCCCGCTTATAAAATGCTATAAAGTGCTGTAAGCAGCATTAAAATATTTAAAAAAGTAAAGAGACTGTGAATGAAGCATCTTTCACATCAATGGGCCGCTGCCTTCAGCCGGTGGAGGGTACACACAGCAGGCTGAGCGTTAACCTAAATCGGGAAGAAACGGTGGCATAAAGCTTCTAATTAGATTCTGGAACAGCCTTCACGTAGCCAGGCAGAGATGGAGCTCCTTAACGCCAGCTCTCTGCTGCACCTCTCGGCCGAACCTCTCCAGCAGTGCTCCCGGGCCTCCCTCCGTGCCCCGCACTCACCTGCGGACGGCTCGGGGCGGCAGAACCGGGAGTGCAGGGGGATGCGGGAGCACCGTCCGTCCATGGCGGCCGCGCTCCCCTCAGCAGTTCAAACCGGACTGCGCGGGGACGGTTGGGCGGGTCTGCGCGTGCGCGGGGCGGGGCGGCGCGCGCCAGTGGGGATTGAGGGCGTGGGCGCTCGCGGGCCGCCTT